ATCATACGAAGCATAAAAATCAAGCCATCCTATCTCTTCAGTTACTACCTGAAAAACAGTATAGATCAAAATTAGTGACATTTAATCTCAACACAAAAAAAGTATTTAACATCTGCATTGGCAGAATTAACAGTGACTAACCTCCATGAAAAGCTGGTACACTGAGATGGAGGAAAATTCTGGATAAATGAAAAGAATGCCACATTCCAAGTAACTTAAACCAATGCGTTGATCTTCAGTATCAGTATCTTGAAAATTGAAATTTTAAAATGCAATAAACGTGCAAAGAGACCTACCTGATGAAATCCTTAACCATTTCGTCTGGATCCTTAATGCCCATTGCTGACAAAAATATTCTAGTCCTTCTTCCAAGATATGCAAAAAGTCCCAAAGTGGCCAAACTATCTGATTGAATCTGTAAAAGACACACCATGAACAATTATCTTAATGCAGAATGCCAAATAACCACTGCACCTATAAAATAATGAGATTAACAGGATCAGGTATTTGGCAAGGCATATGATCATGTAAAGCATGATTACGAATATCTGTTTTCCGTTTTAGTGAAACTAAAAATGAAAATTACACACTGACAAAGTATGTCCTTTATGTCAACTATGCATCTAGAAAACAGGACTGAAATTTGATCTAAAATATTTGCCAAAATGTTTCTGGCATTTGTAAAGAAATATTTCAATCCAAAATCTTAAGGTGTTGGGTGAGAGCCTTTTTAATGGTTTATATTATCTTTTGACACACCTCCTCATGCAAGAGCTCTTTGGGCTTGAAGCGTGCATATTGCACAGGTCCAATTTTTAGTTTACCTTGTGTTTATTTAATTCCACTAAAAAATAGGGGACAGTAAAGATCGAACTCGTGATCTTGTGATTACTAAAGCTCTGATATCATGTAAAGAATCAATTTAACCCAAAATCTTAAGGTGTTGGGTAATGGTTTATATTATTTCTAACACACCCCCTAGTTAGAAAATCATATAAACTATTAAAAAGGCCCTCACTCAACACCTTAAAGTTTTGGATTAAAATGGTTTTTTACATGGTATCAGAGCTTCAGTGACCACAAGGTTACGAGTTCTATCCTCACCTAATCCACTTTCTATTGGAATTAAATAAACGCAAGGTAAACTAAAAATTGGACCTGTACAATATCCACGCTTTAAGCCTAAAGGACTCTTACGTGAGGAGGTGTGTTAAAAGATAATATAAATCATTAAGAAGGCCATCACCTAACACTGGTTCTTTACAGCATTCGACGTGAATGAGACAAATTTCTTAAGTAAATATTATATTCAGATTAAGTTCTAACAATCCATGAATCTCTGCATGAGTTTGCAAGTTAACCTTGTGCTGAAAATTTTGCTTGTTTGTAATGATGCTTTCTTCACAGAAAGCTTTCAATAGTTTCTTATGGGCCAAACCAATCCAAAACTCTAGGTCCTCAGTTTTTTCACTGGGGAGAACCTTCCCACCAAAATGGGACAAGAAATTCAGTTCAAATCCTGCCTCATTTGCTAACAGGTGTATCTTGTCCACAGATGCAAGATTGAGTGAAAAATCCATGAGCTTGACTAAAACATCCTTAAGAGACAATACAAATAAGGAGCAGCATTTGTGCCTAGAGCCCAATTTCACTACTGCACAACAGCAGGTTACAGCCACAATTATTCCTGCAATACCGCTGAATACTTTTTTGTCAGGCTAAATCCTTCCTCTGAATAATAGGCGAATCTAACAGAAATGCAAGTAAAATCATCAACTTGAAGAATAACTTCGGAGGTCAAGTTAATGAAAAGACATTGGCGGACTAAGAAAAAGGATTTCCATCCAAGGTTCAAATATATGTTTCTAAAAACAAGATTGTTACAAGCAAACCTTCCTGCATATTCCACAGACCACTTTTTTAGAAGTGGAATAAAATATCCTGCTATTTGTGGCATTTCGGTGTCGCTAAACCACTGCAACAAATATGGATGCCTCATTTTCAGTTGAATTTCAATGTGTTCCCCCATCTGATTTACTAATGGGGTCAAACTGAAAAAAGAAAAAAAAAAGTAACTCAGATTCGAGCAATGCTTACATGAGTTGTATGAGTCTGTTTTGTAGTTACAATTAGAGTAAAGTAACTTTTGGGTACTCAGCAAATCAAGGGCCCATTTTAATCTCTTAGAAAGAAAAAAAAAAGTTCGACTTGTGGTAGTTTTGAAATTCAAAATAGGCCCAGTTAATTGAAATCGTGGTCCCTCTGAAATTCAATTCAAAGAAGACCCATGTTAGGCCTTCAAAAGGATTAATATGGGTTTCACGAGTCGACTTTTTTTTTTTTTAAGAGATTAAATTGGACCACGTGATATTTGTTAAGAACCCAAAAGGTAATTTGCACTTACAATTACTAGTCATAACTTGTTTAGCAAAAGTAGAAATGGGAAAAATAATATACTATTAGGCACAATATTCTTCCAATCATAGAAAGTTGATAAAATTCTAGCTTGTTAGGTCCCTTACATCTGTTAATGTTGCTATTTACAAGTAAAGCACCTCCCAACTACATGTTATTTATTAGAAAGCAAGAGAAAACAGTAAAAGCTTACATCTCTCTAACAGGGGAAATTTCATTCTGTCGTTCATGTGAAAGCAACATCTCCAAATCAATTGCTGTTTTCATTAAAGAATAAACTGCAACCTGTGTAAGCAGTCATCAGTTATTTTTTCTATTAGATCCAATCAACTGTCCATGTTAATTTCTCAGGGCAGAAAATAATTCTATGCCCCATCTCATTAAAATGCTTATACCACATTTTACCAAAGAACAATTTGCTGCATATACCTGATAACTACATTAAAACTTGGAGGAGAATACTACATATTTCTTTACCAAAGAACAATTAGTTGCATATACCTGATAGGCAATACGTCTATGCCACTCATGCACATCCTTCCCAATCCAAGCCATTGCAATCCCTGGATCACTCCTTGCTAGTCCAAGTGACTCAACTGCTTGGGAAAAACTCCTAGCAGATTCGTGCAATACACATACAACACAATCCACCCTATTAAATTCCATTTCCTGACTACTGGATGCAACATTAGAAACCTTATCTGCTTCTTTGCCTTGATCAGTACATGAAAAATGATCCTTAGCTGATGCTACCAATGATGAGCACTTCCTTAAGGACGTGTAACATCTAGACAAAGATCCAACTAACAGACCATTATTCAAAGAGCTATTGTTACTTTCCTCAATAGCATTCGAATTGGCATGTTGAAGGGCACAGGCTGTTGTCTTTTTTCTGATATCTGATCTGAAGGATCTGCTGTTGGAAGAAACACGGGTTGCATAAACTTTTCAGGAATAGTAGAGATGCAATGGCTTAAATGAATAGAGAAAAAACGACATCACACACATCAATTGAAACTAGTGAACCAATATAGTAAGCTACTTCTTAATTTCACATACAGACGCACACACATATACATTTGTGAATGAATTATTTGTCATATATAAATTATTATTTGGTAATATATCTCACATACGATACGGGAGCATCCCTCCCCTGTTTAGCAAGAGGACACTCGGTTTGAAAACTTTCGATTGCCTTAACGATACATCATCCCAAGGACGTAAACAACAGCAACAGAAGATAAAATTTTAATTTCTATGAAAATGCGACCTTGCAACAATTTTGGTGATTTTTTTTTTTTTTTTCAAAATTACTTTGGTGAATTTCTTTTTTAGATATTATCCATGATCGATTACTCGACTAGTCCAATTCAAGCCGGATAGGACCTTATTAAAGTTCTTCCTACCAAGTTTTAACACAACTTTGATGAACTCTGATTCAACATATAATAGCAACTGCGTTGATACTTTGGTGAACTCTGATTCAACATATAATAGGCTTATTTCTGGAGAAGTTTTACTAGACGGGGAAAATAAGAAAATAGAGACGCTTAATTTCATAATGGGGCAAAAGGGGTAGCGAAAGAATGTATACCAATAATGGAAACTACATCCCATTCGGTTGCTCATCCTCAAAACTCAGAAATTTCGTTATTATCTTCTGTATAATCTGCACAAATCCCTTAAGTGTATATATATGAAAACCAATTTCAGGTAGCAAAATCTTCAAAATGGAACAAGATTGTGCTTGACATTAATATGTAATGTGCTTAATATATATTTCAAATATTATTCCTTTTACAGGATAAAGGAGTGTCACTCTTCATTGCAAAGTATATTAACGTTAAAGTAATAAAGAGAAAGAGAGGAAGCTTACGAGTAGTTGAGTAGTTGATGTTGCAGATTCAAATGGGTAGCCATGGAAGGAGAAAGAGTAAGAAAAAAAACAGCCATCTTGGAACTGATAAATGCTGGAGATGTAGCGGTGTCATCGAGGCACAGAAAGAGATAGATACTGATTTATAAATAATTCAGCAACTTCATTACAAATGGAAGAAAAGCCAAAAGTTTAAAATTATATTTTGTTGTACATTTCTCTTCGGATTTAGCTCCTGCTAGCTTAGTTTTTGTAACATTGTAATGACAGAATACATACTGCAAATATGAAAACCATTAAAAAGAGAGAGAGACAGACAGAGAGATTGTATAAAGAATTGAAGATGTACAAACACTAAACTTCAACTCCACGGAGGTTCTTCTTATATTACCCGCAAAGCCCAAATCCAAGACCATTGGGGTTAAACACTGCTCTGCATGAGACTTGAGACTCTATTTGAGGAGCTAGAGCAGATATATAATCACACTCCATCCTTACAGAGATCAACTAATAAGTCAGATGGTAATAAAATTGCATTACTCCATTATTGTACAGAGCAACTACACAAGATTGTCCCAAGACTCACTTTAATTGAACTAGATACAGGTTTTGCAATTATTGAGAGTCAGCGGGTAGTAAACAACCTTCGAGAATTAATTAAAAATAAATAAATCATTGTCCCTTTAAACGACATTTCATATTCGATTTAAATCGCGCACAGAATTCGACTTTTAAGACCAAATATTCATCTGATAAAAGATTTGTTCATAAACACATATTAATATGTCTTTACGGCACAGAAGAAATTACAAATGATTCTCGAACTGATATTGAAAAAACTGTAGTGAACTTGGAATTCCCAAAAATGCTCCTCAGCTTTGCTTTTTGCCCACTACATTAAGGAAAAAGAGCCGTGAACAAAATGCCTCTTTGCAATAGTAATCCACTTCCATGTAAGTATAACCACATGACTGGTTGAGGGAATGAGACAAACTGTGTCCATCATTTTTTGTTCACCGACATACCGTTGACACCATTCCATGGTTAGACATCTTGCTTATCAAATGAATTGAATAACAACGGGAAAACGACATTACCAAAAGTTAACCTCAAAAGTAATATACATTCTTAATTCTTTGGGTTCAATGGTCTCAATTATCAATCCTGTCGGTAATTTTCTCTCCAGGAGTTTCTACATTACTTCCCTTAAAACCAAGTTCTGCCAAGTCTTGCTTTGCCATCAAGTTCCTGCAAGATACCAATTATTATAGTTCATGGACAACCAGTTATAACAAAACTCTAGTCAAAACAAACCAAAGAACCATATGTACCAAAAATAATAACAACATCAGTAATATATCAATATTTTACAATGAATAATAAGAAAACGGATCAAGATATCCACTTAAAAATGCCAACTTCTCCACATCAAATTTCTTCATGAGAATTATTTTGGATTACATGTCCCGCTTGTTATACTCTTCATCATTTACTCATTGAGTGATGACTCACGTTGTCTCTCTAATCTATTTCAAAAAGTCAGGCTCATGCTAAACCACCACCTCTTCTAGACCTCAGCTCTAGGACTGTAAACTATATAAATCCAATATTCCTATACTGACTCTATTACATTTTCTAGTGGAACAATAGTACAATAATAGGTAGGTTCTGGATTGTTTTTGCCCGTGTGAGGCCTTGGTGTCGGTTGGCTGTGGATCTTTGTTGATTTACAAGTGCCTGTATTGTTAAGAAATGGGCATATTTCAAGGGAGATTCTATCGAAATCTTGACAAAAACTCCTTTGAAATATAAGACTTCTGAAATTAGTACTAATGACTTGTCAGGCTATGTTAGCTAGTCATGGTTGCTTACTTACCAAATTACACTAAAAATAATAAAAACAATACGGCAACAGTAAAACAAATCTGCATTAAAAACTCCTAGATAATTACGATGCGTATAATACAGTGAAACCAACTTACTTTTCCATACGACAAAGCAGGTATTTTTTTGAGAATTCCCTGCATTTTTCAGACTGGTGTCCAGCAGTCTTTAGACAATTGAGATATTCTTTCTTATCCTGAACACAAGGCCAATACAAGAATCAAGGTACAACTGAAAAACTCAGAGTTATTGAGAATTAATAATTAATTAATAAAAATACCGAATAAATCGAAAATCAACGACTAAGATTGTGTAAAATATATTATTTTTACACAAGTGTAAATTGATCATTTCCCTATGTATAATACCAGATCACATAAATGCATGCGGTCCAATGGGAATATTCCTTTTTCGGGGGGCACTGGACGGAGCCCCCTATTGCCACCAAATGCACCTCCTATATCACACACAGAGGAATTCAATTGAGTTTCAAAGCAACCATAGGCCAAAAAAGAGCGTAAACACTTTTTTGAATCCAGAACAAGTCATTGATCTTAGAAACACAAGTATAAGCGAAAATATTTCAAACAAGTGAACAAAGTTAAGCTACAGAATCTAGAGTCTAGATCAATCCTTCAATCCTTTTCACGTAGAAATTTACACAAACGAAGGACGAAAAGGGCGGAGAAAGAAACAAATACCTGCCGCACTCATTTTTAGGGTTTCATGCGGAGCTTTGCATAATCAGAGAAAGAAGTTTGAACTTGAAGTGGAAATCAAACGAGAGAGACTTCGAGATTCTTGTCGGAGATGCGGTGGCTCCGATTACGATTGCCGTCGGCGAACGTGACTACCAAAGAGAATGGACTGTGTCTAGCGCTTATTTACGAGTTTTTATATGTAAATAAAGGATTTGTTGTTTGTCATTGTAGGAGAGATATATACAGGAAAAACAGAAATCATGGGAGAGTGAAAATAACTGATTTTTTTTTAATTTAAAATTCTAATTTTTTGTGTCTGTATCTCTCTTAAAATGACATAATTTTCTGTTATTTAAAATGATAAACTCTTTTCCCGTAAATAAATATTGATCGTGGGTACAGTTTATTTTAAATTAATGGCAAGAGTAACAGCAACATGTATTTTTTTTTTTTGAGTTAAAAAATTAAAAAAATAAAATTATTTGGTGAATATATAAAAATTTTAGCTTAAAATTTACTTAAAAATACATATTTTAAGAAAATTTTCTCTATCTCTATATTTCAAAAAAAACACACACACACAATTTAATAAAAGTTGATAATAGCTCGAGGAGCTTTTGACTTTTAATTTTTTATTTTCATTACACAGAAAGGAACTTTTTATTATAAATTTTTTTTTCATAATCTGTTCGATCTAATTTTTGCTTATAAGTAGCTTCTATCTTAAAAAAAAATAATTCAAACAAGCACTTAGGGCATGTTTGATGCATAGTATAAGATAAGGCCTGATAGTATAAGACCTGATAGTATAAGGTCTGATTGTATAAGACCTGATTGAATTTTAATACTATTAAGCGTTTGACACGGTATTGTATAAAATAATATATTGTATAAGATAATATCATCTAATATTTGGTAATGCACTGTATAATACTATATATGATAAAAATATATATTTTTAATAAAAATATCCTTTAATAAAGAATTTATATAATTATTCAAAAAATGTCATATGATATTAATTTTTATAAAAATTTATTGATTAGTGTGTCCAAAATATAAATTAATTTTTATAAAAATAAAAATATTCATTATTTTAAAAATTAATATATTGAAAAATAAATTTTTATTTTAATAGACTAATATTAAAATAATATATTAATTTTTGAGAATTACATTGGTCAACGATGTTAATACATCCTATGTAGCACCGATACAACATGCGACACGTGACACGACACGACATGACACTCTGACACGTCAATCCTAAAAATTATGGATTTCGACACGTTGGGACACGTTTTAATATTAAATAATATTTTTAATTTATATAATGTATATTTCATTTAATATTTAATAATTTAACAAAAAAATGAAACTAAATTAATAATACGCATCAACACGTTATAAAGATGGAAGCTTTAATAAAGAAAATAAGAACTGAGATGAGAAAGAGATATAATATCAGATAGAGAGATCAAATCATATTAGAGAGAGAGATCAGAGAGAAGGAGATACAACAAGAGCGTGATAGGAATTGACAACAATGATGCTGAGATGATCTCTTATCTACTTAAGGGGAAAAAAGACAAAAAAATAAAATTGATATGATCAGGTGGAAACTTTATTAATATATTTTAATTTTAAAAAAAGTAATTTTTTTTAAAAAAAATTATAAAAAAAATTATAAAAAAAAATTATAAAAAAAATTACGAAAATGTCATTTCGGAATGGTCAACGTGTCGGAAAAAGTTGACCGCGTGTTCGACACCGTGTCGGAGCGTGTCGCCGTGTCGGACACGACTCTCCCTGTTTTTACAAGTGTCCGTGCTTTCTTGAATACATCAATCTCTTATCAGGTCTTATCCCTCACCCTTAGGCCGGATTAAGTTATACATCGTTTTGATGTATTAAGGGATTATGTTGTATAAGCTTATACTATACGGTGGTCATACCAAACAACTAAAAATGTCATAACGTATAGTATAAGCTTATACTATCATGCCTTACATGTCACACCAAACAGGCCCTTAGAGTAATAAGCTTAACATGATAGTAAGTATAACTTCATCTTTCATAATTCTGAAGGTTATATACTTATATTTACCACCATTTAACTTAGGGCAATGCATTTCTCATGTTATTGGACAAGAGGAGAGTTTCCTACACACTCAAATTCATAGTGGGGCCCACACATAAAAAAAAAGAAAACAAAAAAATTTATTGCATGCAAAACGAACTCTCACTAACATGAGAAGAGAGGTCTCCTGCAACATGAGAATTCTTTTTCCGTTTAACTTATAACTCTTTTTAACTAATTGATTATTGTTTGATCAATTTGAAATCAACGGTAATTGATTTTTTCAATTTTTTAACCATTGATTTCAAATTAATTAATGATAACCAACCAAGTAGCAAGAGTAGTAAGCCTAAAATGATGATAAGTATAATTGCTCCCTTCCTTAATGGAGAAGGTTATATTTATCATCATTTTAAGTTTACCACTCTTACTATCTATTGGCTACTGTTTGATCAATTTAAAATCAACGTCAGTTAATTTTTTTCATTTTCCGGCCGTTGATTTCAAATCAATTTAACGATAACCAACCAAGTAGTAAACCTAAAATGATGGTAAGTATAACCGCACCTTGATAATATAATTTTGTGTCATTTTATGTAAAACGATTATCTTTGGGTACATTTTTGATGATTTTTATATGGGAGCGGTTAAACTTATTACTGAAATTTTTTACTAATCATCTCTCATTTTGGTCAATCTAACAGTTATAATTTATTAAAAATTAATAAGTGTACCCAATGAATTATAACAGTAGATTGACAGAAATCAATAGTGATTTATTTAGTAATAAGAGTTGTAAAATTTTTCAATAATAAATATAAATATAATCTCTCCTTTTTTATATTCTCTTATTTCCACGAAAGAGGAGAAAAAGAAAAAAAAAAAAAAACATCAAAATATGATTGTTTAATGACATGTAAATATGTTCTTTAAAATAATAAATATTTTTTCATAAATATTAATTATTAATTATTGACAAGTACTAATACTTTCCTAAAAAGAAGTTTATAAAAAAACTCTTTGAAACATGGAAAAATAATTACACCGTTGTTGGGAGAGGAAAAGAACCGAAAAGATTTGTCTGTTAATTATATAAATCTCTATTGTTTTGTTGGTTGAAATTAAGATGTAACGGTGTGAAGAAAAGTAGTTAAAGTAAGTATAAAAATATAAATATAATATTCTATTTCAAAATACAAATAGGGGTTATAATTTCGAAAAACAATTTCTTATGTTATAAAAGAATTTTTTTTTAACGATATTTCAATTTTTGTGTAGCATTTTTTTTTTAATAAATGTGGATCTTATATATGAGAAAATTTTTTGCTATTGTACAAAAAAAATTTGAAAGCCAAACTTCTATTGCAGGAAAAGTTTTCTATTTCTGGCAGAAAGGGCATATAGTGGGGCCCACACGGAAATCAAAGTGAGATAAGTTTTTGGCGAAATACTTTCTTATGTTGTTGGAATCCCAAATGTGGTGGCTCAGTTGGTAGCATGAGAACTTAGTGGTGGGAGATGATCTCGGTTCGAATCCCACCAACACCATCTGGAGAGGGGCATAAGTACCGTAATCATTGGACTCGCACCCGAACTCTGGATTAGTCCCATAGGCGGCTCAAAGAGTCGAACCCGTGGGAATACCGAAGGGTTCTGACCTCAAAGAGGTAATTAGGATCAGTTTCCAAAAAAAAAAGTATTTTTTATAACACTCATACATCGATATGTGTACTTTATTTTTTTATTTTATTTAATTTCTTAATGGTGAGATCTATCTTAAGAATGTGCGTGTAGAAAAATTTCTTTTCTCATGTGAAAGGAGAAAAACAAAGCCCTAAGTTTTTTACCTGAAATTCCTGCTTAAATAAGTTGTCGTTGTTATTAACTTTTGAAAATATGGGTAATTTTTTCATTTTGACTTATCTAACGATTATTATTAAACATTATGAATTTTGACTAAACTCTTGTCTCTAGCTATGGAATTACTCGTATTAAAATGACCTGTGATATTATGAATAATCTTTGGGGTGCTGTTTGGTTGAGGAGATCTTGAAATTTTCCTAGGCAAATCAACTTGGCAAAACACAATGTCCTTGTTTAGTAGAGAGATTCATAAAAGTTGCCCATCTGTGCCATTTGCATAACATTTCCCCATTTGGCTTAGAAAGCTAGCCATCTGCACTCTTTAGAAAGAGAAGTTGCACGTGGTTTTTCGAGGATAGCCGGCTAAATTGCAAAATGAAAAAATAAAGCAACCGAAAATACCCTCCTGAAGCGCTAAGATATTATTGCAATAGCAACTTTTATGAGTAAAGGGTATCATGTTTGATTCATTTCAAATTTTAAAACAGGGTTATTTTCGTAATAGCAACTTTTTTCCCATTTATATTTTACCTACAGCCAAACTTAGACTTTATAAATGTTACCTAATTTTCCCGGTAAATTTTTTTCCAACCAAACAACTTTTTTTTACATTTTCCTACCAAACTCACTTCCCCTCATTTCCCTATCAATAATATTTTCCTATTATTTATAAAATTTCTCCTCAACTAAACGCCCCCTAGGTAATATTTATTTTGTAAGTTGATTTCTTGCATTTGTTTTACCTTACTTGGTAAATAGTATATATGATCAACGAAAAAAAAATGAGTTTTGCACAAATATGAAGGTATGGCTGAATTTCAATATGATTTTGTTGTAAACAAATTATTTAATAAAGTGTTACTTGTAAAAAAAATTATATTAATAGTGCATCAAAACTAAATTCATATGCAAAAATTTACATAAACAAATTTTGTGTGAAAAAATGTTAATTCACTTGCATCCATCATGAAAGTATACATCTTATATTAACCTTAAGGCTAACTCATCACTTGTTAATATCCCTTATAGAGAATTTTAAGTAGGCAATGATAAGGACTTTATTTTATACAAAGAAGTGTGAGTTACGGAAAGAAATTAAATACAAGAATCTCACATAAGATAAGTGTTTTTCTTCGAACCTCAAAATCATATCATTCAATTTTTTCCATGTGACATATATGAAGCTCTACAGCTTTTGTGTTTATTTTTCTTCATAAATGTAATTACTGTATTATACACGTATAAAAATAATTTTTTAGAAATAAATATATTTTTAATATATATACATAATTTTATATGTTGAGTACTCACTTTTTGACCATTCAGTGGCAAAAAGATATGCCTTATTAATGTGCATGCCATAAGTTATATCCTATTAATGCAGTCAAAATCGCACACTGACTATGTGGGACCACTCCCCAATGCACAACTTACAGGACACTTTTGACAAACCGGAAGCAATGAGACCATGTGGGACTTGTTTTTTGAGTTAAAAAGTGAAAAAGTATAAGGAGAGGGAGAGAGAGAATGATATGAACACTGCGCATCAAACATAATATGGATGTAGCACATGGATTGAAGACATAGATAGAAAAGAGAGAGAATTTCTGACAACTTCACTGTTTTTTTCTCTATTCTCTCTCTTCTTTCTCTTTCTACATAAACCCTCTTTCTTCACACCCTCTCTCACAAAATCCATCACCATTACAACCATCGTCATCGTCGTCATCATCATCATTTCCTTTTCCCACCTATGGAGATCCAAAAACTCATTCTCAAGTTCAGGTACCACATCCTTGATGCTCTTTTGTTGGTCTCCACCATCTTCACCATCCTCTTCTTTGCTCCAAGGTTCCTCACCGTCTTGGACTACTTTTGGCCATTATTTTTCTCCACCTCACTCTTCCTTGCTGTCATTTTCTTATTCGTTAAGGACTCAGCGTCATACCCTACTGACAATTTCATTCTAAAACCTACCAAGGAACTCCTTAACTATGTTGCCGCTGACCACCTCCCTGAACCGCCGTTGGACAATCACAACAACACTGATTAGAGGGAGTAGCAACTCGAGCGAAAGAGAATGTCACGATAAGAATGTAACTTGTGGCTGTGTACAGATATTTTCTTCCATGTGGTAGTGAAGTATTCATCAGCTTTTGAGCATTTAGAGGCTAAAAGCAAAAAGGATATGCCTCATTAATGTGCATGCCATAAGTTATACCGAACTGATGCAATCAAAATCGCATGCTTACCATACCGGACCAGTCCTACATGCACAACTTATAGGACACTTTTGATAATCTGGAAGTCCTGCACTAAAACCATGCGAGACTTGTTTTCTTAGTGAAAAAGTGAAAGAGGTACATAGAAAGAAGAGGGAAAGAGAAATGATACTAGGCACATGACATGAGCATTTCGCATCTAATATAATATGGATGTGCACACAGGCAGTTACCTCTTCAATTAATTTCATTTGTTGCAAATATTAAAATATCCATAGATTTTGAACCAACACGGCAACAAAAAAATAAATTAAAAGTTATTACCTTTTGAAATTCTTTCAAAAAATATTTCAGTTACATAGTACTGAAATTTAAGGCTAATAAAAAAATAGACATTGCCACGCAAGAAATTTATTAATTAAAATCTTAAAAGCATTGAAACATGCTCATGTCATAAAAATCAAAAAATTATTTATTCATTGAATTCAGCTATAAAGAGTATAGTAACAAAATAAAAAATAATAATATTAAAAAAAGTAGAGAGATGAAACGAAAAGTTATATTCTTACAGTGACATTCTCTCTCCCTTGGGCTACTACTCCCTCTAATTGGTGTTGTTGTGATTGTTCAACGGTGGTTCAGTGAGGTGGCTGGCGGCAACATAGTTAAGGAGTTCCTCGATGAGTTTTAGAATGGATTTGTCGGTGGGATATGAGGGTGAGTCCTTAATGAAGAAGAAAATGAAGGCAAGGACAAGCACGATGGAGAAAAATAGTGGCCAAAAGTAGGCCAAGATGGTGAGGAAGGAAGAGAAAGCTGAAGATGACGAAGATCAACAAGAGCACCAAGGATATGGTACTTGAACTTGAGAAGGTGTTTTTGGATCTCCAAGGATGGGAAAAGCGAAAAGAAATAAAGGTGACAACGACGATGGTTGTAATGGTGATGGATTTTTGAGAGAGGGTGTGAAGGGTTTATATAGAAAGAGAAAGAAGAGAAAGAGTAGAAAAACAACGGCGAGGTTGTCAAAAATTCCCTCTTTTTCTATCTGTCTCTTCAATCTATGTGCCACATGTATATTATATTTGATGCACGATGTTTAATATCATTTTTTTTTCTCTCTTCTATGTATCTCTTTCACTTTTCCACTTAGTAAACAAGTCATGCTTGGTTTCAATGTAGGAATTCAAGCGTGTCAGAAGTGTCTTGTAAATTGTGCATGCGTGAATGATCAATGTGTAATTTTGACTGCATTAATAACATAGGGAAAATATTTATCTTTTTAAATGATACAAATTGTGTTATTTTACTCTCATAAAGAAGTGAGACCCATATTTTTTTTGTACTCTTTTTTTTCCATGATTTATTTCTTTCTCTCACTTAAAATAATACTTTACATTCTTTAAAATGAAACACATTTTTTTTCCATTAACTTATGACATGCTCATTAATAAAGCTTATCTTTTTGTTTTTTCCCAAATGATCAAAAAGCCATATAAAACTCCCCCTACCATGTAGAGCTTGTTTTTGGGACAATGGATTTGAGATAATCCCCATTTTGTACATGAATAGGGGAACATGTTCAAAGTTCTATGGTCTTTTTTTTTTTTTTTTTTTTAATTTAGTTCTATGGTCTTTGATCCAACGAGGCTATGCCTCCCCCGTAAAACTGTTATAAAAAAAACCCCATACTTCTCTTCTTATTATTGGCCCTTTGATCTTTTGTCATTTCACTACTACCCTACTATACTAAAATCTAAAAAGTAATTTCAAATTGTTAGAGATAAAAAGTAACTTTTACTTACACCTATCTCCGTATTGATGAAAAAATTAAGAAAATAAAATCTAACGTATTTATAAATTATTATGCATGCGTATACATTATCAATTATAATTTTTTCTTCAAATAATTAATATTCTTTATATTTCTTTTTAAATTGTATAATCCTTTTTAAAGAGTGAATCCATAAACATTTGCTTTATTCAGATTTCAAGTCGTCCTTTTTGATGAGTGATATTTGTGTGCTCCCAGCCCAAATGTTTTTGGTGGGACATAAGTGAGAGAAAAAGGTTAAAACGAGATGAGAGAAGAGAGAAAAAAAAAAATGAGACTATGGTGATCGTTGATCATATCAAAAAATTCCCTTCTTGACTCATTCTAACTCAAACATGCCAAAGTCATTTTTTATCCATCTTCAATAATAAATGGACCAATTTCAAATTCAGATTCTTCACGATTCATAATCTTACGGGTGACACTTACCAAATCATGTTTGTTTTTAATATATTATCATGGAAAAAATATTTTTAAATATTGAGACTCATAAAGCTTAAAACATAAATATTGCAAGGAAAGTTAATCGCAAAGAATTCAATCTAAAAATTATGAATGGATCAGCGATTTAATCTTTTTAATTGAATTGTTTATTTCACCTTTTGAATTCACATCAATGGAGTGTTTTTTTTTTGTTTAAAAAAACAAACAGAAATAATAACTCTGGTTGAAATCAAGTTGTCGTGTCTCTCACTGGGGATGGCAAAAAGTAACGTAAACTCATAATGGATAATGATAATGATATGCATACTGATGTATTACATAATCATAAAGCATGATGAACGCCATTATTCAAGCTGTTCTTATTGATAATTACGTCTGTACCATTTGGTGAAAGTTGTTTTTCAAATCATGAAAAAAAAAATGTATTTTGGAATATTTTATGGGATAGGTTGTTCTACCTATTCCCTTCTTGCCTACCTTTTGCCTACCCCTTTTGTCACGGATTACAATCTAATCCAACGGTCCATAATTGCAAAATAAAATAACCTTTTTTTCCTTTCTCTCTCCTCACTTCTCCCACACCCTTTCTGTCTCCTCCCCTTTCTCTCTTCCTCTGCAAACAAAGCACATAACTTATTTTGGTTTACGAGATTCTATGGCCGCGTGAATACAAGTAAATATAATTGTTTGTCATCTAAACCCTGTTATTATACAAATCGAATTCAGACACTATGGACTACAAGGGTTGCATAAGATTCTTTTGGTTTCGAGCATGGGGTCATTTCTTGCCTTTTTGTTCTTTTCACACAAGTCCCATGTAAGGAGAGAACAAAAGTCCGAAGAGATCTTATTCCATTGTGAATGGTGTAAATGCTTGAAGTAATCGATTCATGTTTCTCCAAAAAGAGTCGATCTGTGGTTGATATAGAATTTGTGTGTTTGGTTTGGGCTAATCCAATTTCTCACGTTGATTGAGGGGTATCCAAAATTCAAAAAAGAAGAATGTTGTCAGATTAGCAAGTGTACTAGTCAAATAAGTAATAAAATGATGAGTAAAGATCGTTCCCACGAGGAATTGTGTCAAGCACTGACTAACCAAATATTGTTAAGTTGAATCAACCAAAATATTATGAATTGCATTTATTTCTTGTCACCAGAAATTAAATTTGAATAAAATTAAAGAATTGATAAACAAATAAAGTGTGAATATAATTTAAAACAAGTAGTCAGATGTCAATTTCCCTCAAGAATGAATTTATGGATGAACCAATTTCCATGATGAATATCTACTATGTAATGTTAATCAACCTTTTTCTTATCATCAAGATGTAATGTCTTACTACCTTGATAGACACATTAATTAGAAACCCCAATGTCTTGGTGATTCCTTTCTTAATACATGCATTAATTACTAAGGTCTTAAGATCACATCAGAAATCCTAGCATCAATGTCTTGACTACTAGAACACTGATGATGAAGTTGTCAAATATAGAAACAATGTAAACATGTCTGTTCTACACTACTCCTTAACATGAAGAATTAATCAAGACAACTTCATACAAATCACGTAATAAATAAACAAGACATCTAATTAACCATTCATAAATTCAAACTTGAGTTCCATTGAATCAGACTACAAAGAACTCTACTCAGACATAATCTATATATATCTATATATATATAAAAGAGAGTTCAATGTTGAAAGTTTTGTCAAGTGTCACTCCCTGGTTAATTCTACAAATTGTATTCACACTACATGACATATACAAACTTTCTTTTTTGGGTAAATTGAAAAAAGAATTTCTTTTAAAAATTGAATTTTTTTAAATCAAAAAATAAATGACCATTTGCGGTGGCAGACAAGGCATTAAATGTCCCACTGTTGTTCACATTGGAATTGGTCAGCTGATTTAATTGCTTTTTACATTGGAATTTTGAAATTCGAATTTTGATTGCTCATTTAATTGGAATGACTCATCTGATCTAAAATTCGAATTTTGAAATGGAATGACTCAGCTGTTTTAATTGCTCATTGATCAAAAAATTCGAATTTTGAAATGGAATGACTCATGTTTTAATTGCTTTTTACATTGGAATTGCTCATCTGATTTAAAATTCGAATTTTGAAATGTTTCAAATTTTGAATTTAAAATATGGATGGTGGGAAAAGATTTGGAGAGTTTTGGGTGGCATTCATTTTGTATAAATAGAGAAGTTGTGTTTCTTATTTTTTCTTAGCTTGCCTACGATTTCTTTCTTCATTTCTGTTTGTAGGGGTTGTTGTGTTGGTATTATTTTTTGTTTTCTTTGGCTTTCTCTGATTCTTTTCATATTTTAATGGAAGGTCCTTCTTCTGCAAACTGTCAGGATTGAGGAAAGTGTTTGTTGATCTTTGCCATGCTATCTTCTTATAAACAAGACGTAAATAATCTTTATGATTCGTTTTCTTTTTTTTTATACTAATTATCTTTTTTTCATTTTGTAGGGCGGAAGTTTTCATCGTATTCCATTCTGTGTGGTTCTTGCCTACGTTTTTTTTCCTTCGTTCGTAT